CAGCATAACCTGCCTGGTATCATTCTTTTTCTCAAATGTTGGTGTTCTTTCAGTCTCCCTTTCATGCTACCCAAACTCCTCTGAGTAATCTCATCCAATTCTGTCATTGTGTATTAAGCTCAAAACTTCAACTGCTTTTACTCTGAGTTCAAACCACATATATTCAACATCACCACTCTAGTCTTTGTATATAACACTGAATTCATTTTTTTCCAAACCCTGATGATTAGTTTATATGGATCCTGTCTCTAACATACCCATTTTTTCCTTTCTATCTCTAATACAACTGTCCTAATGTCTTCACTTTTGCAGTAACATTTACTGGGCTCTTTTTCTGTACAGTAGTCCCACCTTATCCGTGGTTTTGCTTTCCGCGGTTTCAGTTCCCCGCGGTCACTGTGGTCTGGAAGCAGATGATCCTTCTGAATCGTCAGAAGGTCAGTAGTAGCCTAATGCTACGTCACAATGCCTATTGTCATTCATCTCACTTCATCTCATCACTAGGCATCTATTCATCTCACATCATCACAAGAAAAATGGTAAGTACAGTACAGTAAGACACTTGAGAGAGACCACACTCACATAACTTTTTTTACAGTGTGTTTTTTATTGTTTTATTGTTAATCTCTTACTGTGCCTAATTTATAAATTAAACTTTATCATAGGCATGTATGTATAGGGGAAAACATAGTATATGTAGGGTTTGGTACTATTTGCAGTTTTAGGCATCTGCTGTTGTTGGGGGAAGGGTCTTGGAACCTCTCTCCTGATAAGGGGTATGACTGTACTATCACTTCACCCATACTCTGCAGTTACCTCAATTATTATTGATATTTAGTATAATAATCTCAGATATTTTCAGTGGCTTCCCTTCAGCTGTATGGTTTAAATAGGAAATTTTCCTTTGTGTGTGCTTTTGTGCTATCCCCTGAGTAGCAGAATAGCATTTGTCTTTGTGTAAGTCTTTACTTCTTAGTGACTTTTAGCTCTGTTCCCTGAGTAGTATTCTTTGTCTAAATCTTTTTGTTTTAGTGGCATCCAGCCTTACTAAATAATTTTGACCACGAAAGCATAGGTTAGCAAACTTTTTATATGAATGACTAGTTAGTAAATATTTTAGGGTTTGTGAACCACGGGGTCAGTCTCTCCTTGCAATTCTAGTTACTTGATTCTGTCTTGTACACAAAAACAGCCATGGCTAATATATAAAATGGGTGTGGCTCTGTTTCAAGAAAACTTGACTTGCAAAAACAGGCAGTGGGTAGAAATCAAGTTTGCTGACCCCTGCTTTAGCATACCTCCTACTTGAATATCACCAAGGTTTGTTTGCATGTTGATACTTCTATCTAGAAAAGCTGTTTCTTCTACTAAGCTCACGGAGCTAGAGCCTTTCTAGTTTCACATCTATATCCCTAGACCCTAAATAGTAATTTTTAAACTACTTGAAATTTAGAACTTCTAAGTTATTGGACATCTACTACAGGGAGCATTGTGATAGGGAGCTATGTAGGAAGTAGAAGTAGTCTGCTTTCAAAAATTGAATTGAATATTAAATTTTCTTTCGTGATGAGGTTGTGTAACTAAATATTTGAAAAATTTTATATGGTAAAATTTAACATTTGGATGGTGGCAGTCTAAATTGCAAAATTTTAACAAAATCGCCTACTTTGGTATATTTTCAAAGCAGAAACCATGACTGCCTGTGGCCATTTCTCAATAACTATTTGCATAATTAGGTGCTGGGATCCAACTTTAAAAAGAACCTGGAAGTAAAAGATTTTGGGGGAGATGATGAGGGCAATATTAGAAGTAAACTGTGTTACGACACTGTATAGTTGAATGTGCCTTACTTTGTTCAGCTTCTCTTATGGTAGTTAAAACAGTAAGTAACTTAAGTAAATAAGTTACAGAGTAACTCATTTTGTATTTAGAATCTGCATGGAGACTTTTGTAACTTCAAAAAGGGCAAAAATACAGTTTTCTCCTTTCCTATATATTCTCTTACTAGGTTCTTGTTAATCATGCAAACAATATTTGATTTATTCCCTTCTTTCTGATCTTAAGTTTCATAGAAACTTAAAATTCTAATCAAGGACATCAAGTTGCTACTAGTTATAGAAGTATTTAATATTAAATAACTAGAAGGGGAATTTCTCAGTTCAGTGTTTCAGATAATGTTGATTTATTTCTTGCTACAAGGTTGGTTGGCCATGGCTAATTTTTTAGCTAGGTCATACATCCCTTTACCTTCCTCAAAAAGCATAATCAAATTCACTGCTCCAGAGCCCTTATTTCAGTGTAATAAGACTTTCTTACCAGAAATCATGTAAAATCTATGTTTAAAACCTAAAACTAAATCAGGATTAAGCTAAGGAAATGATTTCAATCCATTAAAGAACTTGGGTGGTTTCAAACAGTTATATTTTGTCTTTAAAATTTAAAAGTACTAAAGTACTTCTCTGGACTCTTGAGTGTAGTCCCTCCCCATCTCCTGCACCAGAAAAGGATGGCAGGGTAAGAGGCAGGTTGAGGTTTGTGATGGGGGAGGAGAAAAGGAAATGTTAAAGCATAGGTGGGTCAAAATGGAAAGTTTGGTTTTTTTCAACATAATATAACTAAATACACATTTATCTTTACATTAAACAGTTAACAGTAATGAGCATTGAGTAATCAATACATACAGAACTCAGGAATGTATTTGTTGGAAAATGTGGATTTCTGTACTTTCACTAAAAGAAAAAACATTTGTGTTGGATTAATGTTTTTGAAGTCAGGTCAACCAAAGAAAGGCTGATCTTTGAACTTCTTAAAATAAGCCATTCTGAAGTACAGAAATGTTTAGGATAATGGCTCTAAAGACCATTTCAACTATTCCTAATTGTCTGAAACTAATAGAAATTAGAGGATAGATACTAGTGTCATGACTAGAATAACCTTCCTGCTTTATCTTCTTTTTTCCAGATTAAATTGATCACAATTCTCTCCCCTTAGACCTAGGAAATTTTCTTGACAATCTTTGGATGGATATCTGTCCAGTGATTTTTTTTTTTTTAATATATTATTTATTTGACAGAGAAAGTGAGCACAAGCAAGGGGAGGGGCGGGGGGGAGGGAGAAGCAGACTCTCCACTGAGCAGGGACGCCAGTGGCGGGGGCTTGATCTCAGAACTTGAGATCATGACCTGAGCCCAAGGCAGATGCTTAACCAACTGAACCACCCAGGTGCCCCTGTCCAGTGATTTAAAGCCCTAACGTCCATCTGTGCTCTTGGACCAAGTGATAACTAGTGTATTATTTCCCCATTTTTGTTTAATCAGGCATTTATTTTTTTTAAGATTTTATTTATTTATTTGACAGAGATCACAAGCAAAGAGGCAGGCAGAGAAAGAGGGGAAAGCAGGCTCCCTACTGAGCAGAGAGCCTGATGCAGGGCTCGATCCCAGGACCCTGAGATCATGACCTGAGCTGAAGGCAGAGGCTTTAACCCACTGAGCCACCCAGGCACCCCTAATTGGGCATTTATTGTGATACCTTGAATGCAGTGTTATCTGGATAATTAGTTTGAATAATTAACCTATTGTTCCAAACATAAAATTATGACAAATTTTCAAAACTTAAGAGTGAATTTGATGAGGGATAGAGGAGAGCAGGGAGACTGTGATCTGCCCTTCTCTGCCTCCAACCGTAAACATAAAACAAAAAAAGAATAATTTGAGATTTGTACACTTTTAGCCCTGGGGAGAGATTATGTTGTACCTTAACTATGACCCATGTCCAGATATATTCTATCTTATTGAGCTCCCGTTTTATTTTTCTTTAACTATAATTGGCCACTGATAAATTGTATGGAATACAATTACACAAAATCCAGTTATACAGAAGAAAATCGCCTTTTTGTCTTCAGAATAACAGTTGTATGGCCATGGGAAGAACACTTATTCCGTAGTCATAGTTAGGTTCATTCCTGTTGCTGTGTAGTCTTTGTTTACATTGTAAACCCAATAGGATATTTCCTTTCAAGGTATTGTAATTTCTATTTTCCTGTTCTTTGGTTCTTGTGATACAGTAGTCATCTATTGTTTTACTCATCAAACCTTCAAATAAGCCCTCTGTGAAGCTTTCCAGAATGCTTCCAGATAGAATTTTTCTCTGTATGTCACTCTAGTTTGGTCATGTGCATATTTTCTTCACTGTAAGTTATCAAAGTAAGCACATTGTGATCATATTTCAATGGAATTAGAGCAAATGAGGATTGTGTTTACTAATAAATGGGTATGGATTGGCATTTTGACCTTACGGGTTAAAAATAAGAGTAGGTGTGGTTTGAAGAGCACAATTGCTTGCCTACAGCAAAGAGTTAAGTAAAATTTTAATAAGGCCTTTTAAGCATCATGTTTAATCAAATTTGAGTACTTTATTCAGAAGACTTTTTGGTACCATTGGGTTATGATGGATTGCCAAAAAATACTTCATTTTTTAAATAATAATGAGCTGTTACAAAAAATACCACTTTATGGCATGCTTCAGCATATCTTCACTATTTGTATAGATAGAATTGCTCTCTTAGTAGTTTAATTTCAGTCAGTAATTCACTTTTTTTTTTTTTTTTTTTTTTAAGATTTTATTTATTTATTTGACAAAAAGAGAGCACAAACTGAGAGGGAGAAGCAGGTTCCCTGCTGAGCAGAGAACCTGATGCAGGGCTTGATCAGAGACCCTGGGATCATGACCTGAGCTGAAGTCAGGCACCTAATCAACTGAGCTGTCCAGGTGCCCCTGTAATTCACTTTATATTATCAACTTAAGGCAATCTGAAAGACACTTCTTGAGAATTCTAAGAAAATAAGAATGTTTTGTCTAAGATTTAGTAGAACTATGCCATTTCAACCCTATCTCCAGCCCAGTCTAGGTTTTTTAGGTTTAAAGTGAAAATCCTAGCTTTAAACTTTGCTCTACAAAACTTAGTATATAAAATAATGTTTGTTTGTTTTTCTTTGCAGAAATGGAATCTGTTTGGAATTTGCAGAAGCAAGGTAAGAATAGTTAGGTTACCTAAAATATTAGTACTAATGACTTAAGCATATGTTATGTTTGGGTAGGAGTAACATAAACAGTGACCCACCAAGGAAATAGGCTTTACATTTTGAATTATTTAATAACTGCAGTTAAAATACATTTGCTCCCATACCAGGATTGCTAAACATGGGATAACACTGTAAATGAAAAGAGTATATGAAAATACTCTTCACCTGCAAGGTGAAGAACATGAATTTTTTCCTCCCTGATTATGAAAGTAAGACAACATAAATATTTTTAATGTAGGAAACCAACATGAGTAAGTGTTTCCACTTATAGCCAGTTTTAATCTGTATTTGTGTGGTAGACAAAGTGGTATTCTAAGAACTGAAGTTCATAGTTCAGAAAAATATTGGCTCTTTTAGAAGCCTTATTTGGGCTGTATATTCTTTGAAATAGTATAGGGTTAAAAATCTAAAGAACAGCAAAGTAGCTTCCTTCATGAACCACATGTATAAGATGTGAATAGCAGGAAGGCAAAGGGAGTGAATAGTCCACATCTGATTGTTTGGAATTTTCCAAAAAAATCAAATTGGTTATCCTAATTGTGTGCTTTTCTAAATATGTTAAAATGTGGTAGCTGTGGAATACCTGAAATAAGGTAAGTTTCAGTCTGTGGAGGACTAGTCACTAATAGATTTGGGCTTTTAGAGCCCTGTAACTGAATTGCATCCCATTTCCCATCCACTTTGCTAGCTAATATAAGTGAGAAAGGTCACTGTGTAAGCCAGAAAGTGGCAAGATTAAATGTACATTTCCTTGGGGGCACCTGGCTAGCTCTGTTGGAAGAGCATGGAGCTCTTGATCTCAGGGGTGTGAATTAGAGCCCCACGTTGGGTGTAGAGATTACTTAAAATAAAATCTTAAAAAAAAAAAAAAAAGTAGGTTTCCCTGATTTCCAGGGATTGCTCCTCCTCCCATCTCTCTCATACTTAGGTCAGGTCTTACTTGTCTAACACAGCTGTGAAGATAACTAGCAAGCTCCTGAATTATTTTGAGTTGCTTTCTCTGTCCCTTCTTACTCAAAGGCAAACGAGAAAAATAGACTAGAAAATATACTCTGCAAAATTAGACTTCCTATATTTACTGTAAAATGGCTATTACTTATTAAGAGCTAGCATTATCTTCATGGCAGGTTGCTAGAGGACGGCTGTTACAGTCCTAGAAAGGATATTATCTCTGCGCTAAATTAGATTGACTATTAGGCTCAGGTGAGCTTGAGATCTTTAAAATTATTTTTAGGCCTTTATACTTTTACATTAGGTGACAAATTTTATTGGTTTCCTATTTTGTATTAAAAGCATGTATTACTTTTAAAAGTTCTTAGATAGGGGAAATGGTACGTAATAAAATTAATGCCTCTCCAGAAGAGGGGGAGCATACAGCTAAATAATTAGAATTTAGAATAGCACCTGAATCTTAGCTTATGCACATTGCAGAGAATAAAGACTGGGGGTGCTATGGGAAATTTGGAGGAAGAAAGAAATAAGTCATAATTAGGACTGAATTGATAGTTTTGCCAATCTTAACTGGAAGTTTTTGGTGTTAGATGTGCCTCGAACAGTTCCTTATTAGTCCATATCAGTTAAAGTAAATTTTGACTTCATTTTACTGAGAACAAAAGTTAATAAATCTGGGACGGCTTGGTGGCTCAGTCATTAAGCATCTGCTTTTGGCTCAGGTCCTGATCCCTGAGCCCTGCATTAGGCTCCCTGCTCAGCCTGCTCAGGGAAGCCTGCTTCTCCCTCTCCCACTCCTTCTGCTTGTGTTCCCTTTCTCAGTCATAAATAAGTAAAATCTTTAAAAATAATAATAAATAAATGAATCCAGGTGTTTGTTTTAGTATTGGATTATGAACGATTTAAGCTTTTTTTTTTTTTAAGATTTTATTTATTTATTTGACAGAGATCACAAGTAGGCAGAGAAGCAGGCAGAGAGAGATAAGATAGGAGGAGGAAGCAGACTCTCTGCTGAGCAGAGAGCCCGATGCGGGGCTCGATCCCAGGACCCCTGGGATCATGACCTGAGCCGAAGGCAGAGGCTTTAACCCACTGAGCCACCCAGGCGCCCGTAAGCTTTTATAATTGGGAGAAACACCTAAATCCTTTTTATTTTTATTTATTTATTTTTTTAAAGAAGATTTTATTTATTTATTTGACAGAGATCACAGGCAGACAGAGAGGGGAAGGGAAGCAGGCTCCCCGCTGAGCTGAGCAGATGTGGGGCTCGATCCCAGGACCCTGGGACCATGACCTGAGCTGAAGGCAGAGGCTTTAACCCACTGAGCCACCCAGGCACCCCGACGTAAATCCTTTTTAACTTAACTCAGCCCCTCTCTAATCTGTAGAAACTGAAGCCCTCACTGGCTAGAGGACACTGTTGCTGGAAATCCTTTGGGATGCAAAACTATTGGGTCCTGGAAAAGTAGATCATATGTGTGTTAATACAAAGAAGTGGTCTTTTTTTTTATTATTATCTCTTTCTCTCTCTCTCTTTTTTTTTTTTAAGAGGGGGGAAGGGGCAGAAGGGGAAAGAAACATTTTTTTTTTTTGTAAGATTTTATTTATTAATTTGCGAGAGAGAGAGAGAGCACACGAATAGGAGGAGAGGCAGATGGAGGGAGAAGCAAATTCCCCCTGAGCAGGGAGCCCAATGCAGGGCTCAGTCCCAGGACCCTGGGATTATGACCTGAGCTCAAGGCAGACGCTTAACCGAGCCACCCGAGAGAGAGAGAATTTTAAGCAGGCTCCACACTCAGCGCAGAGCCCAAGGTGGAACCCAAAACAGGGCTCAGTCTTAACCCTGAGATCATGACCTGAGCCAAAATTGAGTCAGGCACTTGACTGACTGAGCCACCCAGGTGCCCAAAGAAGTGGTCTTTAAATTGTGTTTTCGTAAAAAAGGAGGCAGCTAAAATGATGATGTTTATTTGGAATATGGGCGGGCCTTTTGGCATTCCAGACCTTATTTTTATTTATGTATCTATTTCTTAACCTTCTCTCCAGATCCCAAAAGGATAATCACTTACAATGAAGCCATGGATAGTCCAGATCAATGAAGGACCAGACTGCCTATTTGTAACCTTTCTGCAGCATTAGAGCCACCGTTCATGGGGGACACAAGGCTTTTATGCTCCTAAATCTTCAACGCAGCAGAGGAACCATAAGTAGAATCACAGGATAATATATACAAATATATATATATACATATATATATATAGTTATTTAAAAAAAAAAAAGGCAACTGAAAGTAATTAGACTTCTTAAGGAATCAAATTTATTTCAAGAGACTACACAAGGTTATTTAATCTCCGGTACTGAATAGTTTTTTTTTTTCTTCTGTTAGTTTTTGTTTTTAAGTGTGAATGCAAGTGATTAATGAATACAGACTTATTAACAAGCGTGGTTCTAAAGTTCCTGCTGTCATCAACTTGGGCAACAAATGACCCACTGGAAAGGCAAATCCACTTAAAAGATCTCTGTATCTTGTTCTGTGACTAAAGTGATACACTAATCACGGGGAACCCAGAATGATTCACCATTTTCCCCCACTCCTCCCTTGATCTTTTGGTTATACTTTGAGCCCTGCGAGAATGCTGGATAAAAATGCCTTGAAGTTTGCAGGGGGTGTATTTTTTTCTTTTTTTCTTTCTTTTTTTAGCGAATATGATTTGCATGTCTTGCCAGGAGTTGAACAGCCTCTATGGGGGTGTTGGGGAAATATTTTCTTTTCCTTTTATTTTTTGTGGGGTGGGAATAGGGGAGGGCATTGAAGTTCTGTAATTCTGGAATAGTTGGTGGTACATAGTTCACTTGGCTTTGGTTACATATTGGACTTCAACAAGTGAAGAACCCATGAGTGTCATTTAAGGAAAAGTTACAGAGCAGACAATTGGCTTTAGATATTTAATACGAGAAAATACTCCTTTGCCCATATTTTAATGTAATTGTGTAAGTGGGAGCAAAAATATATTCTGCTTTTCAACTGTAGGTGCTCCAGACTTGCTCTCTGTCACTAACACTAAATGTGCTGTTTTCCTTGTTTTTCATTGAACATCTAAAGAGAACCTTCTGTACCTTTCTGTAAATTCTTTTAATTTCTCAGAAATATCTAAAAGGGGAAGAAAAATTTCCATGAAAATTATAAAACTTTTCATGTTTTTAGCCAGTGAGGAGGTAATAAACCCTGCCTATAGAAGGTGTTTTCATGCAAACTATACTTCTGAGCTTATTAGCTTCTAATTATATCTTAATAAATATATTTTATTACTAGAGCAAAATGGGTTTTTTAAGGAAAATAATGTGAAATTCTGGAAATTTTCTTTTGGGCAGAGAAGAGCATTAGCCCTGTCTTATCATCACATTGCCATCCTGTTGCACTGCAGCTTGTATATAGCATGCTGAAATAAATTTTTGTGTGTGTGTGCAGAAACTAAGGGTCCAATTTAAGATTGGGTGATGTTAGTGGCATAAAAACAAGTTCTCTGGCCTGACATAGCATCACATTACACATACACACACACACATACACACACACAGAAATTAGTATATCCATGTATGTCAAATACAGGTTAAAATAGCAGGGCATTTATATAGAGAGGTGTAGTCTTCTAATAAAAGTAGACTGGATCCCCTGGGGCATTTGGGGGGAGAAGGTACCTACTTTTGCTCAAACCCTTTGCTTAAGAAATGTCCAGTTTTGAGCGACTGTAGTATGGATGAGTTTTCTTGTTTTGTTGATTATTTGAGACTTTTAACAAGTAGTTTGTGGAAGAAGCTGTTGGGCTCAACATAGAGTAGAGGAAATATCTTTAGTCTGGATTCCTGCCCTGCTTAGATTTTTAAAAGTATAAGCATGGATTGCCAATTCCACTTGATGTAAACAAAACTTTTTATACATAATATATATATATAATAACTTATTGTATCAGTCCAGGTTCAGAAACTTGTGGTAGGCCAGTTCCAGATAGTTTCATTTCACCTGTAAACTGTATCACTTTTACTGATATTGTAATTTTCAAATGTATAATATGTTTACAGATGTGCCCTGCATTTAGTCTGCCTTGTTCCTATTTTGATTTTTGTTGAGTCTCCTGCCTGCTTGCCAAAAGCTAGGATGCTTCAGGCCCATGTACAATTGAAAGCAGAGGCATCCTTGAGCTTTAAAGCATTGAACAAACTGGAAATTGCAACATACCACATACTGAAGTGAAAGAAGTCTGTGTTTTTGTGTTCTTTTTTTTTTTTTAAATAAAAATTTTCAAAAAGTTAAAAAAAAAAGATATAAGGTTGATTAAAGGACAAAAAGGCTCCAGTTTGTTTTATAGGTTTTAAAGTTCTGCTGTGTGTTCAATTGCCTTGTGTAACCACTTGTCGCCTTAGGGCCAGATTCCCCCTGTACCTCCCCCCTTCTTTTTTAAATGTCCATTTTGCTTGCCTGGAATTTAAAAGCTCTTCTGTCTCACAACTCACAAGAAACTTTCTGGGTTTGTGACATAGAGGTTGAATGAATATATATATTTAAAAAGGAGAAAAAAAAAAAAAACAGCCCCTGTCTGAATTGGGCTTTTTAATTTAGAAGCAATGCCTAAAAAATACCTTTAGAAATCTCTTGTTGCTTTCCTGCTTCCCTTCCATATAGCCCTCAGGCCTCCATGTTTAGAGAAGCCAAAAAGAATGTATCCCTTATCTGTTTGTCCAAAGGTTTTTGAGAGTCTCACTTCTAAATGAAACAATGCAACATTTCACCTTGATTTTCTCCACTGAAATTTCCTTAATTATATGGTTAGAGGTATATAGTTAGGAATGTCTCTTTCTGGGAACCCTAGTGCCCCATCATATTAATTGTCAGTATTTTTGGGCATTGGGTTAATGGACTTAATTGCCTAGGTACAAGCAGGACTTTGGGACAAATCTCCTTTGTGCTGTTTGGTAACACTTGTCGCAATCTTTCTCCTTAGGTCCTCACACAATTCCTTACAGAGCACTTATTAAAAAAAATCTTAAGAGTTGATCTGTTTTCTGATTATTTTTGTGTAAGCTTCTAAACAAACTTCAGCTGTGATTAATTTAGCACATTTAAATAACATTAATGTGTTATTGTTTGGTATAAAGAATTTTCCTTCAACTCAGAGTATTAGTACTGTAGCATAAACCAAATACAGTCTAGAGGGGATTTTTAACATCCCTCCATTATAAAGACTGAAAAAGGAGTGTGTGTGTGTGTGTGTGTGTGTGTGTGTGTGTGTGTAGTGTGTGTGTATGTGTGAGGGACAGAAGGAGGTAGTAAAATTAGTAAATGAATGTGTGTAAGACATTATATTAGTATTCAGAGAATGAACTTGTATTTATTTTGTGCCATTTGTTTTCATTACACAGAATAAAAGTCAGGTGGTTTTAATCCTTAAAAGGGTAGTATTTGAAAAATGGCACTAAGAATGAAATCATGACCTATTTTTTTAATAGCTATGAAGATACTAATTATGGGTGAAGATTTCTTTTTAAATCTGTCTTGATTGTAGGCTTCTGTGTCACATACCACTCTTATAGATATCTAGAATAATTCCCCTTCCCCACAAAAGACAGGGTGTATTTATCTTTCTCTTTATTCACCCCCACTTTGCTGAACTGAAGTTAATTGCATAGCCTTTCCTCTGACTTTCTTAGTAATGAACTTTGACGTAAAGTATATTTACAGCATCTGTAGTTAGCCCCGCCTCCTCCTTTCTGGGAGGGGATAGACAATAATTAGGAATTTGTTAATGCCAGTTTTTTCTTCGAATAAATGGCTGGAGAAGGTATCTCCATTTTAGAATTTTGCTGTTGTTCTTAATCACCTGCTTATCTACTCATTGAGAATTTGCAAAAACTTTATAAAGAAAAAAAGTGCTGCATTGGTTTTTCAAATAACAGTTTCTAGGGAAAATATGGCAAACCTCAGTTACGAGTATTGTCCACAGTACAAAATGTGTTTCGTCACAAAACATTACCATAATGGTAGATTCATATTTGGTTTAGTCTTGTTGCTAACCCAACTGGAGGCCTCTAATGGTTTATCTTGAAAACTTTCAAACGCAAAAAGCCATTTAGTGTGAAATTTTATGTCATATTCAATGGCCACAGGCAAGGAAAACTGGAAGAGGACTTATTTTAAATTGTTAAGTAAGGGGGAGTCATTTTGTCAAGGCTATTTTCAGAGAAAAAGGTTTGAAAGTCCCATTTCCAAGGATTAGGAGTATAGTTCTACCACTGGGCCATATCCTTGATACATGATTCTTGTATACCTATGCTAACTGCAAAATAGACTAGTAGGACAGGTACATATTAGGGACAGTTTTTATAATCAGGTCTGTTATACAACGATGTTGTACTAGTTGACTTTGATTCTGACTGGGCAGTGTCCATTGATAATCCTACCCAAAACTGAACTGCTGCATTTTGAAAGGTGTAGGATTTGCTCATCTTTTCCTCCCCAAAGTATTGATACTTGTTTAAAAGGGAGGGTCAGAGGACAAGTATGTAATAGCTGCTCTAAGTTTGCAGATGCATAGGTTATCATTAGTTCTTAATACTGATGTTATTTTTATTAATGTGATAAATGAGCAGAGCACCAGGATTATTTTATGGTGAGAAAGATGGGCTTATGCTTTGAGTATCTTAAAATGTTCTTTTTAAGTACACTTAAATCTTTTCAGATGCGTGAGAGCCAGGACCACCCTGGTTTGGTTTAAAGAATGATAAATCATTGGCTCCCCTCAAGTGCACTGCTTACTGAGTTTTAAATTAAATTTCACACTGTTTTGCCACTCAATAAGAATAAATAGAATTTTAAGTTGTCTGCGTAATAAAAACACCCGATGAAGCATGAATAGTATGTTGCTTTTGCATTACTGGGAGTGTCAAATAGCAGTTATGGGCGAGAAACCAATGGAACAGCCATCCTCCCATGTTGGGATTGCTGATTCAGACTTCCCTATTTATCCATAAAATTTTTGCTTATGTCCAGAGTTCTAAAGCCATTTTATAATACTGCAGTATCCCTTTTCTACAGCCTTACTAAAATAGCTACAAACCTATTCCAGTTCATTTTCACTTTCATTGTATATCAAAGTGTATACAGACCAAGAAACCAACTTGAGGTAAATTACATAGCTTTCCATATACCCTTTTTTTTTTCCTCAGGTGCTAAACAAAGGCTCCAAAAAAATGGATACTGCTTTAGTAATGTCTTTTATTCTTAAACATTTCTTTTGCTAGATGTAAAGATTTGGTGTTAAAAATGGTTTTAATATGTAAATATGAGTGAATGCCTTTAGTTTGCCCCTGTTTGTCTATTATTAGTCATTTCATTTATCCTCTATAGAGGAGGATCCTTGCATAATCTTAAATACATTTCATTAGTTGTTGCATTTCTTAGAGTGAAAATACAACTGTTTTCTGTCTTGGATTAATCCTGCTGCTGCTATGAGAAACTGAAAATCAAGAATGTGATGCACTTTTTACATTACTATATACCATACCTTTATAAGTTGCTTTGAATACCTTTCCTGTAGCACAGCCACTAACAAAACTGAATGAATTAAAATTTTTTCTTGAGGAGGGAATCAGTACAAATAAACTATTTATGGTATTGGCCTGTGAAGGGCAATAACTTAGGAAAATAAAAATTGTATTACACTTTTTGGCCTTAAAATATCTTCTACTACTGAAAATCTTTTAAATCTTAGTTTTGTTTCTCTTATTCCCTCTCTCTGCCTCAAAAAGAGGATTTGGGAAGAACGGTTTGTTGCTGATTTATCTTGTAGAAAGAAAAACAATTGTCTACTAGATAAGCTGGGGAGTTTTTGTTTGTATACAGAGGAGAAATAATGCCATCCGGAGCCAATCAGATTTAGTGTAATCAAATTAATCAAAACTCAACTATTCTGCTTCTCCTAGTATGTTTTTACTTAGCAAAGGTAACTTTAGTAGGATGCTACTTGATGAGAGGAAAAGTCATTTCTCAAGCACATACCCAAACTTGAAGGAGACTTAACCCAAAATAATGGAGGAGAAAACACCAAATGGGGTGGAGGAATATGAGAAAGATAAGTGGTCCAAAGCTATCTGGTTATATTTTGATGTTGCCAATATTACCAAGCCAAAATTTTAATTTGCTTATTTAATATATTTGTTGGCCAGAGATCTATTTTTATATCAATGTGCCTTGCATGTATATTTTAAAAAGTTTGGAAAGGCCATGTAATAATGCCTGAGATAGTTGATGGTTCTTAACCACCTCACTAATTTTTATGCAGTATGAAATGCTCATTCTATCGCCCAACTGGTGCTCTCTGTTTAAAGTTATAGATCTTGTCACAAACTGGAACTATTTTATAAACTGGGGAAGTGATTTAATTTACTTTTTTTGTTGTTTCTTTTTTTGTTCTTAATCTGTTAGTGGCTGTTCTGTAGTGGGAAATAGTAAAAGGATTCTTCACTCCCTTTCCCTACCCCCTCAGCACCTTCTTCAAGTAATGTGATGACACCATTTCTTGTGTGCTTTGAAAAAAGTTTCAGCTTGCTGTCTCCTTTAGTGTTATTTTAAAAAAGTGTTATAAAAAGCATTGTTTGCAAAATCTAGGGAGATAATGGAGTCCACTTTAATTTGGAATTCTTTTGTGAGCTATGATCCAAGTTACTGGCTCTTTCCAACTAAAAAATTTTTATTGTTAAAGCACCTTGGCTTAGAAAATTTTAAGTATTTATGTCTGCAACAATTGTCTCAAAATAATGAACTGTGCAATTCTTGTCATTAAAAAAAAAAAAAAAAAAGATCTGAACTCTCCCTAATGTGACTTGTTAGTTTCTCTGTATTTCCTGCCAGTGTAAATGTGAAAAGCTTTGCTTGCATTACGTTTTAGAAATGCATTTTGCACACTCGAATTTTGCTGAAGCTCCATGAAAAGGTTAGATCTTAGTAGATGAATAAAGCTATGCACATGTTTTGAAAGTTTAATTTGTGTGTCATTACCAAAAGTGACCTATCCTTATTACTTTGCTGTTCTTAGCTTTACCATCATTAGAAACGTGGCTCAAAGTAATAGTTCTGGGCTAGCTCATCAGTAGAACTAGAAGAGAGGAAAACTGGCACCTAATTTAATAAACTTCAGTTTAAATGAGAGCTGGGCTTGTATCTACTAAAGGGCTTTTCTTGAAACAGGGCAGTTTTATCAGCTTTACAAACTTTTGGATGCTCTTACTTCCTCGTGGAAACTTTGATTTATTTGATCAAATAGAAATGGGAGGTAACTCAAATAGGAGCGGAGGACCTTTGCCACATGGAGTTCTTTGACAATTCTGTGTCTTAAGCCTGGTTTAAAGGTAGGATAACCATTTTCCCTTTATTGCTTTAGTATATGTTTGGTCTTACTGAATGAATGACTTAAGATTAGAATCATTCAGCTGTTTAAATATCAAAGCACAGGTTGTTTTAAAGATAATGTGTATCTTTTAAAAATTGCCCAAGCTGATTAGAATAACGTTTAGAAACTGGGCGAATTTGGTTAAACTGCTGCAGTCTGCATGTACTAAATAGCTTTACTTCATATGGATGTGTACTTTTAACGATTGTGTAGATGTACTGGCCAGGTTTGTCAAATCTTTTAAAAGATTGTTTTGTAATCTCCTTAGAACTTTTATAGAAGAGGCTAAATAAGTAGAAGATAATAATGCTATTTTCCCCATGCTCCTAGATATAAAAGAAATATTTCTGATTTGTACGTTTTTTTCCTATGTTGAGAGGAGGGTTACTTCTCTATCATCAAGTGTGCTCTTGAAGTATGTTGTTGACTTTGAAAACAGCAAAACCCTTCCTTCCGAAAGTGACAGAAACTAAATCTAGTAGTCAAGATTGGAAATGTAGTCCATCGTGCCTGGCCTTAAAAGGCAGAAATGAGGGAGTATAGCATCATCTTAGATGGCCGTGGCTACTCCTCAGCATCTGTCAGTAGTTCACTTATGTTTAGTCTTA